AACACCTGGGGCCCTCTATGTGATAACCTTGAAAGGCAATGCCTATTTTTGGTTTAGAGTATTTCATGAACTCAGCTAATGTTTTCCCCCTTCCACTTTTAAGAATAACCTCTCTAGGGGAATATGAATTTTGACCAGTCGTGGCTTAGCAAGACTAGCTTCTCTTTCTCCATGGGTTTGATCACCCTTCTCTCAAAGCCATGAAGCAAATTGCTTGGCTGAGTGTGTTGCAGAACTTCTGCGTTTGTGGCTTAATTAATAAAGCTCACATAAACCATGGCTTAGGATCCAAATCTCTCTCCCTTTGGGGTCACCCAACTCACAAAGCTGTTGTGTGGTTTGCTAGTGTGCATGAACCCAACAGTGCTGTCCGAAAATATTAGCGTTTAAGACTGGGAGCTCCTGAGGCAAGAAACAGCCTCTTCTGATTATGAACCTTTGAGGGCGTTGCATCAACAAAAATAATAATTTAGCAAAGCAAGGTCTTAATCTAGCCATTAAACTAATTAACAAGTGAAGTTGAACTGGGTGTGATGCCACCAAATTATACACTTTTAGGTTGTAATCCTATATCCAGTTACTTGAGAACAAGTCTTACTGATCTCTATAAGCTTTATTTCCGTAGATTGGGCAGGTTCGTAATGTTAGGGCCTGATCCATTGCACTAAACTGACTATAACATGCCACACATGAAAGGAGTTAATCTAGAGATAACACTTGTTTTTCTTTGTCAGGCCCCGTAGTTGTTGATAATGTAGTAGGTGCAGCTCACAAAATCTGATACCTTTTAATAAAATCTGTTACCAGATTCCTCCTGACTTCTGACAGCCGCATACTAATATAACATTTCTCCTGCAAGGTTCCTGTAAGGAGGCAATTACTTTTCCACTAAATTTGCAAGTAAACTGTCCCTACTTAGTCTCAGATTCATGCTTGTTTCTAAAAAAAAAAAAAAAAAACTGCATTTACAGGCAGGCCTTTGAATTAAAAGCACAGCTGTCCCATTTTCTTCTTGTAATACAAAATGAAAGAGGGCTGAGCTTTAAATGATTGAATTCTGGGAGCTGAAGTCCACACATCTTCAAGTTGGCAAGGTTGAGAAACACTTTTGAGAAAGTTTAGCTCTCTCAAAAAGTAAGACCTGATCCATGGATCCATATTTTCTAAATCTGTTGTTTACTTGTATAAAATTAAATGGATTTTAAACTTTGTTCCCCACTTTTGACAAGATATTGTTATCAAGAAAACTAGCTTTTAAAATACATTGCTACCAAGTTACCTCTCAGGTAGTCTTGTGGTCTTGGAAATAGGGAAAAATATATCAAATTATTTACTCTAAGCATCAACAAAGCTATTTAATCGAAGCCCAAGTAAGGTGGGTAAAATGGATTTTGTAAATAATGAAACATGATTTAAATATTAACTTAGTGTTTTATTTAATGTCTATGGAGATTCTCAAATCCAGATCATGGTTGTCTCAAAGGTGTTTTTTTCCAAAACGCAGCTGGACTTTCTTGTTCAGAAGCACAAACATTTTCAAAAAAAAAAAAAAAAAATCCCAAGAAAGTCCAATTGCCTTTTGGAAAAAGCCCCTTTAGGATATTTTTATTTAAATTGGATTTAAATAGGTGAAACAAATAAAGAATCAGAATAATGTTAACCCAACAATTTTTCAATTATACTTTGACTGAATAGTAATTTACGGGGGCGCGGAAGTGAAGAATATGGAAGGTGTAATAAGAAGCAGAAAAGAAGAAAGACAAAGAATCCAGAGTTGTTCGTAATTTCCAAATAATGTGAGAACTGTCAACATTAATTTTATCATTAACATAATAAATATAAACTCTCCAAAATGGTCATTCTTGCCCCTGAAGATTCATTATCCTAATTTTACCAATAAATATTTTTAATCAAGTAGTTGAAAAAACTATTAATATTAACAAATTTTAAATAGAGTTTCCAGATATTTCCAACACTGAGAAATAATTAGCAAGAAAGCCATTATGTTATTTTTCAGTGTAGCCTCAGATCGTATCCCTCAAGGTCACAGCCGCAGTTTACAAGAGCATTCGACTCTTTGTTTTGTAATAGTGCTAATTTTACTAAAAAAAAAAACCCTAACAAAAAGGATGTTATTTTATCACAGGACCATAACCTAGGGTAAAATGATCCCTTATCTCTACAGCCCCTCCAACATTTTGAAGAATGATTGTATGATATAGTTGTTAATTTAGCGAGGGTTAGATGCCACTGGGGCAACCCTATGCATTCATTTTTTCGCTGGAGGTGGAAAGGATATCTTCAGATTCCCATAGTGCAACATTTCCAAACTTGGCAACTTAAAAATGTATGGACGTCAACTCCCAGAATCCCCCAGCCCAGCATGCTTTTGAATTAGAGAAAAGGTGTCAAAACTGGATACCTTTTTTCCAGATGTAAAGTGTGGTCTTGGTAAAGACATTATCAATTTTGCTTATTTTTTTAAGAAAACAATGACCTGAAAGAGTACATAATTTTTTTAAATTATCGGGCTCTAATATAATCTCTCTAAAAGTCCACAAACTATGGAATTTTTAACTAAATAATCAATAATTAATCTCTATAACTAATTAATCTCACGTTCTATTTTAACTCTTATAATACCCAACTTGTCAAAGGCTTTTTTTTTTTCCCCTGAAAGTTGCCTGGTCTTAATGGACGTTTTTCTGGAAAATCAATGGAATCATTGCTCAGAAATATATTTCAGTTCCAGTCAGCCAATTTAAGGATCTCATTTTATCCTGATAAAAATAAACGGTTTTGCCTCATGAAATAACTTTTCAAACTTTATAAAAGTGTCCAGAGAATCTTTTATTGTAGTTAATTGCTCTGACTTTTATGGTTACCAGTTTTAAAAAATAGAACTATCATGTTTCTTCTCTAATCTACATCTCGTGACTCTCAGGTGTATTCAACTACAAGTATTTTTATACTTGTTGATTAGACAATGGCAGATAGTTACATAGGGAAGTTACCATGAGAAAGCTGTGATCTTGGAATATTTTGAGATACTCCTCTACTGAGGAAATATAACATGAATGAAGAAAATTCTGTACTAATTTTACAACAAAACAAATACGCTGCATGGCTTAGTTATATGAGTGAGGCAATGCTACAAATCTTGCTTGATCTATTTTTAAATCAACCTGTGTTAACAGTGATTTAAAAGTAATAACGGAACTGCTCTTAAAGCAGTGGTTTAAAAACTGTTTTTTGATGCCCAGTGTTTCTTAATATTTATTACATGTGTGCGTATGTCAATTTCATTAGACTTAACTCCTTGGATAAGTATCTGTATGTCTGCATTTTAGACGGATATGTATAATAGCTATCTTTTTCAAGAGCTTAGAAAATACTAATAATGTATTGGAATGTATTATAATTTTATTCTGTCCCTAAAAGTTAGAACAATTAACCAGTGGAATGGCTTGCCTCCATAAGTTGTGGGTGCTCCAACACTGGAGGTTTTAAATAAGATATTGGACAGCCATTTATCTGAAATAGTATAGGACTTTCTGCTTGAGCATGGGGTTGGACTAGAAGACCTCCAAGGTCCCTTCCAATTCTATTATTCTGTTATGTAAAGTTCATTCAGAATGGCTCTTTTATTTTCTTAGTATAATGTTAACCCAGTTTTTCATTCAAAGTCATCCCAAAGTAAAGCTTTTACAATGCCATACAAAAAGACAAATTTTAGAACCATATAAAGAATATGTGTAAAAGGATGCCAGAGCAGTGAGAGAAACATGGTCAGTACACGACAAGTTGTTTTCTTAATGTTGAAAGCTGACTAGGCTTAGCAGCCACTGTAAAATAATTCTTTTCGCGAGATGATCTTATGTGTGTGCTGTATTCAAACAGGTTCACTCTAAGCTAAAGGTTCTCCCTAAAATTAGTAACAGACAATGCAATGCCATTCCTGCCCGTTTGTTTTTACTCATTCTTAAACAATTCCACCCAGAATTGTGGATCATTGGGTAATATATAAATTTAATAACTTGTTTTTTATCTGTCCGTGAGAACATTTAAATGCATTTAAACACTTTTTAAAAATGTTTATCTAAATCACTTTTCAAAAAAGGAAAAAAGAAGAGAAGGGAAGACATTTCTAAATGTATATTTTCTCAATATCTGTAAAAAAGTAAAAAAAAAAGGGGGGGGTTGCAACTGAGCAGTGTAAAAATTGCAGTAATAAATAATGCATCAAATAAATAAACGAAAACATATCCTATAAATGAAACATATCCAGAATAGGATAGAAAGTGTAAATACCAACGGATGTTTCTATTCCAAGTTTCTATTACATTTCATTCGGTTCACGTCAAAGTTTCCCACACCAAATTCTTCAATCTTTCTGTCTCCCAATAACAACCTAATACAATCTTATTTTCTCAGAAATAAATCCTGTTGACTTACTTCTGTCGCCATGTGAACAGGAACCCCTGCAAATTATAATGCCAATATAGCCAGATGTTGGGGAGGCCAAGGTTTAGAATTACAGCCTTAAGTATGTTTATTCTTTTTGCGAACAACCATTTGACTAGGATGGTATAAGGCTCCTGCCTTGAGCAAGAGGCTGGATTGGAGCCCTTAGAGCAGGGGTCTGCAACCTTGACAACGTTAAGACTTGTGGACTTCAGCTCCCAGAATTCCTCAGCCAGCATAGCTGGCTGAGGAATTCTGGGAGCTGAAGTCCACAAGTCTTAACGTTGTCAAGGTTGCAGACCCCTGCCTTAGAAGTCCCTTTCAGCCCTGGGGTTCTATGATTCTATAGGATTGCAACTTGGGGTTTGCCCAAGAAAATTGCCTGTGCCCTCCTCCCACACTCACACCTACCTGGCTCATGTTAAATAGCATTTAGCTCTGGCTCCAACACGTCCCTTGAATGGTCACAATCCATGCTGTTTAATGGACAGTTTTAATTCATTAATCATTCTAAACGCCACCTTGGTTCTTTCTAGGTGGTAGCCCTTGGGGACGTTCCTGATGGGACAGTGGTAACGGTCATGGCTGGTAATGATGAAAACTACTCGGCTGAGCTTCGGAATGCTTCGGCTGTAATGAAGAATCAGGTGGCCAGGTTCAATGACCTTCGCTTTGTCGGACGGAGTGGCCGAGGTAAGGACTTTAAAAGAATTTAACCAGGTTTTCTAACCTCTAACCTCTTTCCCTGGCATTCCCAGGTCTCTGTTTAAAGCCAGAATGAAGGCATCTCCAACTTGATGGGAACCCATGTTTTGCAGAGGTTCAAGTATTCCACCTGTGCGTGGGCACATGCACATGTTCTCCATTAATAAAAGAGAATATTCTGTTACAATAGAGCAATGGTGGAGAACCTATGGCACGCAGAGCCCTCTCTGTGGGTACGTGCACCGTTGCCCCAGTCCTAGGCCTTCAGCTGGGTTTTATAAAACTGTTTCGCTTTAGGCCTCCGCTGCGGTGTGCAAAAAAAAAAAAAAAGGTTCAATCAGTCAATTTCAACTTCTCGCGGGAAAAAAAAGATCTTGCAAAGTTGGAATTGATTGATTGAACTTTTTAGTCCCACCCAGTCTGCCGTTACCACCACAGCCATGCCCACTCAATGGGCCACGCCCACCCAATGGGCCACACCCACCCGGTACTCGACAATGCATAAGTGGGTTTTGTGTTGCAGTTTGGGCACTCAGTCTCTAAAAGGTTCGCCATCACTGCAATAGAGAATATGTTCTCTATTGTAAAGTTGAGATACATACAGGTAGTCTTTGTCCAAACCTCAGCCCAAAATTTCTGTTGCTAAGTAAGATAGTTGTTTAATGACTTTTGCTCCATTTTAGGACCTTTCTTACCATGGTTGTTATGTGAATCACTGCAGTTGCTAAGTCAGTAACACAGTTGTTGAGTGAATCTGGCTTCCCCATTGACTTTGCTTGTCAGACAGTTGCAAAAGCTGATCCCATGACCCTGGGACATTGCAACCGTCATAAATATGAGCCAATTGCTGAGCGTCTGAATTTTGATCACATGACCGTGGGGATGCTGCAATGGTTGTAAGTGTAAAGAACTGTCATAAGTCAGCTTTTTTCAGTGCTGTTAACTTCAAGCAGTCACTAAACAAATGACCTTGTTGAGGAGTACCTGTATAAGATTTTTGAAATGTGCTCTGGGCTGTTTGTGCATATGAAGTTCTAGAAGAAAACATCAGTAGGTGTAGACTTCAACTGTATAAACAATAGTCCCACGGTTCTATGTCTCTCCTTCAATCCTTCGTTGAGGATTTTAAAGCTTCTCCAAATATTTCTGCTGAATTGTAACATTTAATGCTTAATTACGAAATAACAGAGAGTAATTGCTTTCATTGTGTTTAATTGCTTTCATTTTGATTAACAGTAAATTACGTTTCATCTTGGCTTGGCCCTATCTTTCTCATTTTCTGGCTTCTGTTTGCTGTTGGGTGTATGACCCCTGTCCCATGGTTTAGAGGCTAAGTCAGTATTTTTCAAACTTGGCAATTTTAAGATGTGTGGACTTCAATTCCCAGAATTCTCCAGCCAGCCGTGTATGCAGGAAGATGTGTTGGGATTTAGACCATCAGTATCCCCAGCCTTTTATCACCCTTTGGATAAAGATGGGGTCCTTGGTGTTCTCTGAGCTTGGTGTTGTGCTGATATTGTTACCTAGTTTGGTAATGAAATGTCTGCAAGAAAACCATCAAGCTCAGAGAACATCAAGAACTCCACAGTTTCAACTTTGAACTACAGATATTCTCTTTTTGGGATAAATGCTTGAAAATGAAAGGAATTCTTGTCCAAGCATAATTCTTGCATATTTCCTTGTAGCTAGATTTACTGAGATGAAATTTTTATATGTATTCCAACAACAGAACTCTTTCCTATTCAGAACCAATTCATACCATACAACATTATCAGTATAATTCATTCATTCTTGTAAGGAGGAGACTTTACACTGTAACCACCTTCCTATGATCCAGCAAGGTTTCATCATGGATCCTGGGGACGTTGCAACTGACTGTTTACATAACAGTCTCCTGAATCTTTAGCAATCTAAACCAATAGTTACGCCTCTGTGCATTCGTAGGAAACAGCCTTAGACCAGTTTGACCAAGGAAGTCCACGAGGTATGGTAAAAAACAAACAAACATGATAATAGCCATATTGGTGTAATTGAAACTCACCTGTGGGGTCCTTGGTGCTCTCTGAGTCTGGTGGTTTTCTTGCAGACGTTTCATTACCAAATTAGATAACATCATCAGTGTGTTGCAATGATGTACTAGTTCAGGAACCAATTCATTTACCATACTTCCAAGCATCTATCCACAGTCATAATTCATTCATTCTTGTAAGGAGGAGACTTTACAGCCCCTGTAACCACCTTCCTACTGATCCAAGCAAGGTTTCATCATGAGATCCTGGGGACGTTGCAACTGACTGTTTACATGCAACAGTCTCCTGCAGCAATCTTTATTGTCTACACTCCGATCTAAACCATGGTGCCACCTAGTACTTTATTTGGTTTTTCTTGCCTAAATGTAGAACCTTGTGAATTTCATAGTCAGTGTTAGTCTGTCCAAACTGAAGCCTGCTTCTTAGCCAGCTTGGTGTCAGTTGATGAGTTCCCCATCTATCCCTTCATCCAAATCGTTGATGAAGATGTTGAAGAGTACTCCAGAACAGAGCCCTGGGGCACCCCACTACACACTTCCCTCCATATAGATGCAGTTCCATTGAGGACCACTCGCTGAGTAAGCCAGCTACGGATCCATCTGGTGGTGGTTCTGTCTACCCCACATTTTTCTACAAGTAGTAGGTTGTGATCTACTTTATCAAATGCCTTACTGAAGTCCAAGTAAATTATGTCCACAGCATTCCTCTGGTCACTTGGTCAAAGAATGCAATAAGAATGATCTATTTTTCACCTTTGTTGGGTGTTCCTTGGATTATCTTTTCCAGGATCTTCCCAGGTATTGAGGTCAGGCTGATAGGTCTGTAAGATCCATTTTTTTTTCCTTTTTTGAGGATGGAACTACATCAGGTCCTCTGGTAGTTCCCCTGTGTTCCAGGATCTTTGAAAAATATAGTTCAGTGGCTCCGATATCACATCTGCCAGTTCCTTGAGAACTCTGGGGTGTAATCCGTCTGGTCCTGGCAACTCATCTAGGCTGGACAGGTGACTAAATTTTCTTGCCTATCTTAACTTGTGTTTCTGTTTTGTTTTTTGTGGCACTATTTTTGATAGGTTGGTCTGTTTTTTCCCTTTGTGTAAAGACAGATGCAAAATGTACTGATCAATACACAACTAGGGCACTGATGATGTTACCTAATTTGGTAACGAAAGGTCTGCAAGAAAATCACCAAGCTCAGAGAGCATCAAGGTCCCCCATAGTTCAATCTTATGCTACAAATATTCTCTTCTATTGCAACTCACCTCCTGTGTTTGTCTGTGTCTCTCTGTGTGTGTGTTTTACACCTGAACATGGAGTTTCAATTGCACTTTTACAGCTATCATCTTGACTTTTGGTAGCTATTCCCCAAGTCAACCCTGACACGTAAATTCTATAGCAGTGATGGCGAACCTTTTAGAGACTGAGTGCCCAAAAACTGGGCCCACCCCCACTCCGCCCCCCATCTCCCACCCCGCCTGCCCACAGGGCCACTCACCGCCTCCAGGGCCCACTGCAGATCGCCCAGGCAGCCCAGCAGTGCTATGGCGGTCACGCCCTCTGCCCGCGCCCTGCAGCATCAACTGTGCACGATGGGGCATGAGGGCAGAGTCTTGTCTACACTGCCTGGCTGCCATGTCCTTGGCTGCGCTGCCACACTCAGGGGCGACTCTCCTTCTGGGGGGCTGCTGGAGAGGAAGGGGTTGCGGGGGGGAGGTGAGGCTGGGGCAACGGGACGTGTGCCCACAGAGAGGGCTCCGAGTGCCTCCTCTAACACCCGTGCCATAGGTTCGCCACCACTGTTCTATAGAATTATCAGTGAATAAAAGAGCAGTCATTGGATCAAAATGGCTTTAGGGTGATTTTAATTCAATCTTCCTTGTCACCCGAGTACCGTCTTTAGCACTCATTCCTTCTGCAAAACGTGGTAGGCTCTCCAGGTCTCGCGGTGGCCTGCTGGCCTTCCCCCTTGCCCCCAAATGTTGAGTCCCTCATATAGGAATTGTGAAAAAGATTTCTGGGGCTTTTTCGGCAAATGATCTTACAAACGATTTGCATGTAATAACTGTTTACTTGTTGCGCTCTGTGAAACCCAACTAGTTTACATTCTTTTCTGCATTTCCGTTTTCCTGCTGGATTTCCCCCCCCCCCCCAATGGCAGGCAGGCTTTTTTCTTTCAAACTGCTGCCCCCACCCCCCCTTTAACTGCTTGCAGGTTGATGAATGGAAAATGTTTTGCTTTTATGAATTAAGCTTTCATTTCTGTCCTCAATTATTTGCTTAAGTCTCCTCCCTCCCCCCCCTTTTTTCCATCCGCTTGACATAGAGTTCCAAACGTGAACATGGCTCAATCCAAACTTGACTCTTGAATTCATTAGGAGCCCCTACTTGGATCTCCATGCCTGGGCTGAGAAATTACAGTAGTCTTGACTCCTCCAATTTCAATTCTTCTCTCTTTGATTTGCACCAAGCTTAGAAAAGTGAGGGGGGAAACGTCTTTGGCTTTTGTTGTAGGCAAGCTTTTGATTAAACCTCTATAAAGCTGGTTAACATATTTTCATACACAGGACAGGGTTTTTTTTTAGCAGAATTAGTAACGATTGAGGTTTCCCCCCCCCTTCTGGATGGAGTTATTTTGGATTGGAAATGGACCTGCATGAGCTGCATATTTGAATGCACCCGTCCTTCTGCTTAATTAACTCCCTCCGTGCTGAAGTCAGATTCTTGACTGAGGTTTAAAACCTTCTCTTCTTGTTGTTATGATCTTTTTATCTTGGAACCCACCACTGCTGAGAACTATGACAGTACATGAAACCCATCCCTAGCAAGATATTAATGCAGGTAGTCCTCAATTTAGGACCATTCATTTAGTAACAGCAATAGCACTTAAACTTGCTTCATAGTGCTTTACAACACTCTGAGTGGTTTACAAAGGTCAGCGTATTCTCCCCAACAATCTGGGTCCTCATTTCACTGAGCATGGAAGGATGGAAGGCTGAGTCAAACTCCAGGTTGTGGGCAGAGTTTGCCTATAATACTGCATTCTAAACACTAAACAGCTTCTAGAAGATACAAGGATACTAAAAATGTGACTTATGAACAACCTTCACACAGTTGAAACAGTTGCAGCATCTCCACAGTCACATGAACAAAATGTGCACATTTGGCAACTGGCACTTATTTACGGTGGTTGCATCATTCCAGGGTCATGTGATCGTGGTTTGTGACCTTTCCAGCCAGCTTCCAGCAAAGTCAATGGGGGAAGCGGGATTCACTTAATGACCCCATGATTCTTTTAATAACTGCAGGGATTCACTTAACAACCATGTTAAATCAGGTGTGACTCACTTTAACAACTGCTTTGCTTGGCAACAGAAATGTTGGTCCAGTTGTAGCCATACGTCAAGGACTGTGTGTACTACACTGCTTATTCAGGGATCGTCAAGTAGATGTTTCTGACCACAGAAACAAAAGGACAATTTCCCCCCCCTCCCCGCCCCCCCCATCAGCCTCCTCATTTTTAAATTGGTCATTCAGAGCTCGCTAAGTGATGGTCCTTTGCAGATTTGTGTCAAAAAACATCCATATAGAAGGTAAAATATGTCAAGATGGCAGCTTGGATTATAGTTGCATACATTATTTTCACTTTTTTAATCTCCTACCCCCATGGCAATGGACATTCCCTGAAAACAGATGTAATTATAACACTTGTCATTTAAATAAATATCACCAACCCAAAAAGATGATGAAGAATTGACTTTAGAGTTTGATGCTTTGTCTGCTGATTGTTCTAATTGTGCTGATGAGGCATGTCAGAATTCCTTGTGTTCCTAAAGATTTGGAATCATTCTTTCAATAGAGAGAGAGAGAGAGAACTCCCTACAGCAGGAAGCATGGCTGAATGGGGTATCCTGGGAGTTGATGTCCAGACTTCTTAAAGGTGTCAAGGTTGAGAAACACAAGCATAGACTCTCTGTATAGATTGGACAGTCATTCAACAAGGCCTTCAAACAGAGGAGAAGATCAGATGCTCTATTTACACCAGATCAGTCTCCTGTAACTCACTGCTCACAGATGCTTGCAAAATCCATTTGTTGTTAATTTGTTGTTAATTTGTTGTTAATTTGTTGTCTTCAGTGCAAACACAGACTTCAGATCAATAATGTATTGAAATACAGCACTGTCCTGCAATAGTCCTTCTGCATAATCTGATATCCCTGTGAACCAACAATCCAAGCAAGGCCTGAATCCATGTTGGGTAACTTCATTTAGATGAACCTAATCAGAAACAGCAGCTTACCACCTCTCTTGAAGTCCAGTGATGCCAATGTTTTAGTGTTCCAGCTAGTTAGTTAGTTACAGAATAGAGTTGGATGGGACCTTGGAGGTCTTCTAGTCCAACCCTCTGCCCATGGCAGGAGATCCTATACCAGTGATGGCGAACCTTTTAGAGACCGAGTGCCCAAACTGCAACCCAAAACCCACTTATGTATCGTTGGGTGCCAGGTGGAAATGGCCCATTGGGTGGGTATGGCTAGTTGGATGGGTGTGGCCCATTGGGTGGGTGTGGCTAGTTGGATGGTTGTGGCTCATTGGGTGTGTGTGGCTGTGGTGGTAATGGCAGACTGGGTGGGACTAAAAAGTTCAATCAATCAATTCCAACTTTGCGAGATCTTTTTTTTTCCCCGCAAGAAGTTGAAATTGATTGATTGAACCTTTTTTTTTTTTGCACATGGCGGCGGAGGCCTAAAGGGAAAAGGTTTTATAAAACTCAATTGAAGGCCTAGGACTGGGGCGATGGCACGCGTGCCCACAGAGAGGGCTCTACGTGCTACCTGTGGCATGCGTGCCATAGGTTTGCCACCACGGCCCTATACAATTTCAGACAAGTAGCTGTCCAGTCTCTTCTTAACAACCTTCAGGGATGAAGCACTCACAACTTCTGAAGGCCAGCTTTCCCACTAGTTATTATTCTCACTGTTAGGAAGTTTCTCCTTAGTTCTAGGCTGCTTCTCTCCTTGATTATTTTCCATCCATTTTTTTTCTTGTCTTGCCTTTGGGTGCTATGGAAAATAAGTTGACCCCATCTTCTATGTGGCGAATACTGGAACACTGCTATCATGTCATCTCTAGTCCTTTTTTTCTCTCTCTAGACTAGCCATATCCGATTCCTACAACTGTTCTTCATATGCTTCACATGCTAAGATAAAAGTGGCCTCGGTTTTATTCAAGATCTGAGATGCTGGCAAAACTAACCAGTCTCATTATCAACTTCTTCTGTTTGGTCACAATCCCTGGTTTAACAGCCAGCCTGGCATTGCTATAACTACACCTCCAACTGTCAGTGTCTGAATATCTATTCAGCAAAGGAAGCTGTGATTATGTGGTTTGAAGACAGGGTGGTAGGAACTCAATTGCCTTCAAATTCACCAGAGCTCTCCTTGTTTTGAAGGTAGAGAAGGTTTCCTGATGACTTCGGGGCACTTTCCCCACATTTGCAATTTGAACGTTCAAGAAAGACCTATGTGTACACCTGGAAACCACAAAGCCACAAAAATGAAAACCATCTTGGAAGATGAGTCAGACATTAGGAATTTGCTGAACTCCCTGTCAAATATGGAGGGGTCACCAGGAAAGTGGTAGAGCAATTTTTCTCAACCTGGACCACTTTCTGAGGTGTGGACTTCAACTCCCAGAATTCTCCAGCCAGCCTTGCAAGCAAGGCTGGCTGGGGAATTCTGGGAGTTGAAGTCCACACCTCAGAAACCAGTCCAGGTTGAGAAACACTGTATAAGTTTGGCATGAATGCCCTTTCAATTAAAACATTTCCTAGATGAGAAAATGAAATGTCCTATTCATTTATTTTAAGGTATCCTCATCTATTATTATAATTAATGAGCCAAAAGCAACAACTACATTCTTCTGGGGTAGAAGAAAAAGAAAGATTTTCAGATAAACATTAGACAATTTTATTTAAAAAAAACGGAAATTTTCCATACATAAAAAGTATTATGAGATAACTTATATTTATGTTTATTCAGTTGGGAAAATCTCTGGCTCTTCTAATGTAATAAAAACATTCCTCAATATTAGACCATATTTGTTAAATAAAATCCTCAAGCATTAAATCTGAAAATGATAAAATAAGTATTATGATTTACCCAAAACAAATTCCACTAACTGTCATATACTGTAACAGGAATAACTGAAAAGTCAAGATCAAAAGAAACGGGGTTGGCTGATATAAAGCAAAATAAAATAAAATAAAATTAATTGGAGATAAGAGATCCTGGTAATCTAATTTATACCATGATTCAAGTTAAACATTCAGCTAATATATATTTTAGGAAAACAAGTTTCATCCAAGAAATACACAAAATTTGAAACAATAATCATCTATCTAACGCAGATGGAAGAAAAGTTGTGGGTCAGTTTTACAACTTGATGAATAATTTAAAATCACCCAAATACATCCTGCTAAATGAAGTGGCAACAAAATTGGGGTATTGGGGTTTGCATAGAGTTTTAACTTAGATTTAGAAAATATTTATTGCCCAAATCAAGGTATTTTATTATTTTTAAACAGTTTGTGATAAAATTGAGTGGTGTTGTGTAGGAAACCGCGGGTGATGGCCTCTGATCTTGAGGTTGTTTTTGCTTTCTGGTGATGGAATTAATGTGAGTTTGTTCGTTTTTGCTTGTATTTGTTGTTGAATACTACTATCCAAATCCTTGTGGGATTGGTGGACACGGCAGACTGAGTGGGCGTGGATGGGATGGGCGTGGTCACCGTGATGTTGCTCATGGGGGGGGGATGCCTGTGGGGGCTGGGCAGGAATGAAGAAGATCCAGAGGGGTCTCTGGTGGGTGGGGCGGTGGGCAGGAGGCTCATCCTATGGGGTGGGGCAGGGGATAGGGCAGGGGTGCCATTGCTGCGGGGCAAGGTGAGGCAGGGGGGGCTGCTGCCTGATATCATCAGCCCCTGCACCCAGACACCAACGAGCGCATGGGGGCCATGGTCTACCACCTCTACTTGAGCTTGCTAGCCAGCTGCTTCGCCTCCTTTGTGCTGGGTGGCGCTGCTGCTCCAGGCGCCAGCAGTGGCCTAATGGACCTGCGCAAGCTGGCGGCGGTGGTGGCAGGTGTGCCCACAGAGAGGGCTCCGTGTGCCGCCTCTGGCACGTGTGCCATAGGTTCACCGTCACTGTTCTAGTCCTGCCTTAGGCACAAAATCGGCAGGGTACAGGCCAGACAAAACCACTTTAAAAAGTCCTGCCAACAAAACTGCAGGGACTTGTCCAGGCAGCCATCAGGAGTCAGGTCTGACTCAAAGGCATTCCTGCTCACCCCCCCCCCAAAACCCCTAAGAATGCTACGTGAATGTTCATGTGTACACAAGGTTAGCAAATACCTCAATACAGTTGGAATAGCATTGTTCAGTGTTGAGCTTATTGTAAGATTTATAAGAACATTGATATTGTGCCCTTCTAGATGTCAGTCTGAAACGCTTGAGAATCAGAATTGTCAACAAGAAGGGCTCAGTTTCAGATCTGCTTGGAAATGCAACATGGATGAGTAACTTCTCTATGCAGAACAGGACTTTTGTTAGTGTATCCTGTTTTTGGTATAGCTTTTTTTTTTTTACAAAAAAATGGAGCTACATACTTTACTAAAGAGGATCCTATCGCTCCTCTGAATTCATGCAGTCTTTCCCCCCTCTGATTTCTTCTCTTTGCTGTTTCTTTTAAAGGAAAAAGCTTTACGTTGACCATCACAGTCTTCACCAACCCTACTCAGGTTGCTACGTATCACCGGGCCATTAAAGTGACCGTCGATGGGCCCCGGGAACCGAGAAGTAAGTCAACTCTTATTTTCAGAAAGGAAACTGGTATCTATTCTGATGTTTCCTCTCTGCGTCCACCCTCTTGGTGGCCAAATTGGATTAAGTAGATGCCGCTGACAGATGTCATTGCTGAAATGTTAAAACGTGCTTCTTGTTGTGGGTGTTTCTGAGACCAGCATTGTCATCTCCAATGGAAGGTCCTGCTGGAGGAGGAAATGCAACCAGGATGGCCAGTGGGAATCGCTGAAAGAGAAACTGGTCTTGATGGGAGAGGATGGGAAAGGAAAAGAAGTGCAGGTAGTCCTGGACTTATAACCATAACTAAGATCAGAATTTTCATTGCCAAGCAAGATGGTTATTAAATGAACCATGGGCGATTCTATGATCTGTTTTTGGCCTGGCTGTTAAGTCAATCATGCCTTCATGAAGTCAGCCTGTCTTCCCCCATTGACTTTGCTTGTTTGTCGGAAGCCAATCGGGAAAGTCACAAATGGCGACTGCCTGAACCCAGGATGCTGCAGTTATCCTAAATATGGGCAGGTTGCCAAGCACCCAAATATTGATCACATGATTGTGGGGATGCTGCAGTTGTGTGAGTACAGGTTTTCAGTCACTTTTTTTCAGGGCCGTTGTAACTTTGAATGGTCACTAAATGAATGATTGTAAGTTGAGGTCTACTTGTATGATGACTTATGGCAGTGATGGTGAGCCTTTTAGAGACCGAGTGCCCAAACTGCAACCCAAAACCCACTTATTTATCGCCGGGTGCCAGGTGGGCGTGGCCTACTGGGTGGGCATGGCTGTGGTGGTCGTGGCAGATTGGGTGGGTGTGGCCAAGGTGGGTGTGATCACCTCGATGTTGCTCATGGGGAGGGACGTCTGTGGGTTGGGGGAGATCCAGGGGGTCTCTGGCAGGTGGGGCGGTGGGCAGGAGGCTCGTCCTTCTGGGTGAGGCGAGGCAAGGCAAGGCAGGGTGGGGGTGCCATTGTCACAGGGCAAGGTGAGGCCGGGGTGGCTGCTGCCTGACACCATCGGCCCCTGCACACAGAGGCCAGCGAGTGCATGGGTGCTGGGATGCATCCAGCCATGTGGGACCTCGGCGAGTTAGCGGGTGGCTGGTTGAAGAGGGACGGTTGCCATCTCCAGGGCATGGCAGAGAGGCCTCTGAGTGCCGCCTCTGGCACGTGTGCCATAGGTTTGCCACCACTGACTTATGGGTTTGCTTTAACATTGATGCAGATGGGTAGTTTTAAACCAGGTTTGGCAGGCCGAAGGCTTACGAGACATGGACTTCTGAATTCCATAATCCAGAGCATCATGTTTGAATATCAGTGCAGAATTGTGAATCTCACAGAAATTATCATGGGGGTCCTAAAATAAATTTAGCATGGCTTGAGAGGCAGGTGGGTCCCAGGAAAGCTGCCCCTTATCTAGGGGAAAAAGTAGAACATTCCCGCCGTGACTATGTTGTGTATTGTTGTTTTGGAGTCTCACCAAAGCATGACTTGTGTACCTTTTGCCAAAAGGCAACTCACTCTTGAATTTGCATTTCCCTTGCCCAATGGGTCAAGCACTCTTTTCTCTCTGACCATTCAACTTCCTATAGCCCTGATGGTTTACAGCAGGGTTGTGGATTTCAACATGGCTGGCTGGGAAATTTTGGGAGTTAAAGTACACACGTTTTAAAGTGGCCAGGGTTGGACAACTCTGGTTTAAAGCAAATCCCTTTCTTTCAAATTAAGGTTTGCCAAGCTCAATTATAGTAAATGCTCTTGGAGCTGTGAAGGTTCATATTTAAAATTCAGTTAACTCATGTTTGCAATTTTTAAAAAAGTAAGTTTCCATTTTCCTAATACACTTCTTGCGAATAAGCACCACTTCATGAGGGAAGGCTGAAAATATATTAATTTGTTCTCGGGTAGAAAGGAATATTATATTTTTTGAAAATATATTTTAAAATGCTCTTTCACTCTCTGTTCACCCAACATGTTTAACCAGATCAGTTACAAACATTGCAGCTGCAGATAAAACATGGGCTACACTGAATCTTGGTTAGTTTTCTTGTGGTTTAAAGAGCTGTGCTAACCAAGCCCCTTTGGTTAAATTTTGATTTAGCAAATGGTTAAGTCTACAAATTGGGCTTTGTAACCAGGCTAAACAGGAGTCCGGTAGCACCTTCTCTGACTCACAATGTTATTAAAAAATATATGCTTTCATAAATTGGAGAAATGTTATCAAACTCCTGGGTTTTTTTTTTGCAGCTCTCCTGCTACTTGGTAAAAACAAGCTGAATGTGTTGTGTGAATGCATTCTCTGTGTTCTGAATTCAAGGAAAATCGATTGTTGTATACCATCCAGAGTTGTTTTTTTGTGAGATGGGCAGCCATGCAAATTTGATTGAAACACTTATGAATAAAACCATACGGCTGGGGAAAGTCATCAGTTACCTGTTAAACTTTGTCCAAGCTAAATCTCCAGAACTGCTGAAATCTATTATTTCAGAGCAGGAAAGATGGTAAAGCAAACACTAAATTTACGACCCACCAAGGTGTGTTCAGCATAAGCAATGTGTTTGTGTCCCTGATTGTATTCAATGCTCAATACCCTGTTGTAAGCAATACATTCACCATATTTACCCAGGTTTGCTTTTGCCTTGGAAAAAGTTCACTAAAGGTTGAGTCTGCTTACCAATATTGATGTGATTTATATATAGTTTTTCCCTTTTAAAAAAATAGTGTCAGGACAGCTAACCAGGTTACATACACAAATCGGTGGAAAGGTAACAAAAAATAATTGCCATGTGTCACAAAAACTCTCCAGAAGGAGCACCAGCTAACCATCCAAAGGAAAAACCCACACCAGAAGGAGCACCAGCTAACCATCCAAAGGAAAAACCCACACTTTAATAAGTTTAATGAAATCATGGAAGGATTGTTGAAAAAAGGTTGTTGAAAAAACCAGCAGCATACCCACTCACCCAAAGAGAAACTAATGTAAGGAGGCAGAGAGTTCCACGGTCAGAGGCAGGGGTGTGGTGCGTGGCCACCAGGACCCCAGAGTGTGCAAGATGAGCCACGTTTGCAGAGCTAAAGGGACAGCTTAAAGCAGGGATAGCTAATTAGATACATGCAGTAGTGGGATTCAGCCACTTCGGCAGAACCGGTAGCTAATTTTTTTGTTGCCCAGGCCCAGAATGGAATTCCAGAAGCGGCATCCACACAGAGAATTGGTTGTTCACCTATTTGAATCCCCCGCTGGATACATGCAATTGTTCTAACTAGGAATCCTCATCAGCCCCAGGGAGCACAGCCAGCATGGCAACGGTTGATGGGATTGGGGGTGCAAAACTTTTGTTTGGAGCCCTTAAACAAGGAAAATTGATTTCTCCCAGATCTCACATCTGGCCTGTTCAGAGATCACGAAGGACTGCAGACATTATTTTTTTATCCCACATTTTTTTTTACTTTTCAGCCCACATTTATTTTCTTTCTTTCTTTCTTTCTTTCTTTCTTTCTTTCTTTCTTTCTTTCTTTCTTTCTTTCTTTCTTTCTTTCTTTCTTTCTTTCCTTCCTTCCTTCCTTCCTTCCTTCCTTCCTTCCTTCCTTCCTTTCTCTCTCTCTCTCTCTTTCTTCCCTTCCTCCTTTCATCCCTCCCCCCCTCTCTCATTTCATTTCATTTCATTTCATTATTTTCTCTGTTCATTTCATTTCCAGAGTGCAGATATTACTGTTGCTTTCACCTCCCTTGATCATTCTTACCTTGGGAAATGGAATGGGGAGGTTGTGTACGTTCCCTAGTTAAGGATTTAGCATGTTGTGTGAACTCAACCAAGAATGGCAGGACTCAGGTAAGGCCCAGGACCCTTTTCAGAGGCTGAGCAACAGGCAAGTCCTATTTTGGCCATCTTTTGAAGGCCATTGACTTGCCCTATGTCTGTGTTTGGAGTTCACAGCCACTCCTGAGTAAATGCATAATTATAAATGTAGGACCAGCTTGTGTAGTGAATCATTCTCAACTCCTCTTCTGCATTTCAACAGAGGACGGAAATTAAAGATTTCTGTGATAGACTGATTAGATGCTACATGTGAGATTTGCTAGTCTAATTTGACAAGTTTCTGGCAGTTTAAACTTGTGGGCGAATTATCTGTATCTTTAATATGCCAGTTTTTTTTTTCTTCCCCCACCTCTTGAGTCTCTCTACAGACTGAAATTTTGCAATTGGCTCTAGAACAGGGCCTTTGGGAGGCAGCGGCAACCACACCCAGACAAAAAAAGAAATCTGAGAAACCTCAGTGGTTGCAGCAATGAGCCAGATTCACACATGCTTGTAAATCATTCCCAAAGCCCCTCTGTTTGACTCCTTGAATTGCTGTTTTCTAAACTTGGTATTAAAAAAAACCCAGTGTATTTTTCATGACATCATATGTAATGGAAGGGGACTCCTGGGGCCATCTAGCCCATCCTTCTTCCCTGTGCAGAAATCCAAATTTGAAGATCCCTGATAGATCACAGTCCAAATTCCCCATGAATTTGCCCAGTGAGCAGAAGACCACCCTGTCTCTTGGGCATCACTTCTACTGTTGAACTTGGACTTTTTTTTCAACTTTCAATCAGAATTTGCCTTCTGTCACTTAAATCGATGTTCTCCATTTTGTAGACCAAATAGTCTTCTACGGATCATCTTCATTTCTTACATTATTTTAAAAATGGCATCATAGCCCTCCCCTTCACTCTCTCCACTTCCTCTCATTTTCCTTGCAAGATTTGGTGGGGATTCGTGGTATCATCCAGCCACCATGTGGTGCTGGGTCACTACTCCAGACATGTTCCACAACCACAATGATGGCTGGATCAGGCTGATCTAAATATCTGATGGGAACAGCCTCTTTCTTTCCAGCCTTGGATCGCTTCAGTGCCCTTTTCTGCCCCCATTCCAATTGTTTGAATGTACTGTCAGATCAGGGGATGCTCACAGGGTATGGTTGAAAAAGTCAAGAAGGCAGCCATGGATG